TTTGCGGGCCTTCGTCCCACTTTTGCCCAGCCTTCAGCCGGGTTTTATATTATTATATTATACTTTTTTAAAATTTACTAACTGAACAATTATTCTGAATTTCATATTTTGTCACTATTATATGCATACAAAATAAACTAGCATATAAATAATTAAAACAATATAAGACATTTCTAAAAATGATATTTTTTAATACTAAATCTATTTATTACAGTATAAAATATTTTCGTTATTTTATATCAATGATATATATAACTATAGATTGACGATTCATTCACTAGAATTATAAAAGTGTCCTCACATTGTAATCAGCTGTAGCGCCATTTTGCAGTTTGGTTATCTATTATTTGTATATAATATTGCGAAAACAAGTCAACTAAGATAATTTAATTTGAATGGTTTTGATATTTGATATAATATTTTATAGTTTCTTATATTCTTAAATATTATCATAAGATTTTATGAAGGTGGACTAGCTGATTATACTTAAAAAATGATTTTCAGACTAACTCACCTTTTAATTTTTAAAATATAGTTTAACCTAATCCAGTATGTGTGTATAAATCATATGTTAATGCATGTTAAACAAGTCTTTTAATAACACTATCATTTATTATTTAATATAGATAAAGGGAGTCTGCTATGTTCATAATTGTAATAAAACAAATAAAATAGAATAAAATAACCATATTTCTTATCACAAGTATATTCTTTTGATATCTGTTAATATTTATATTTAATTAATATAGAATTATATCAAAAATATATGAATTTAATATAAATTTTACATTTTTAAATATTAAAAATTAATTATTATGTAAAACATGGCATCGAATATTAACCCTTTAATACTCTGGTGAAAAAAATATTAGTGCTCGGGAGCAGGCGCGTATGCAGCGGGGGGGGGGGGCAGGGAAACAACCCCCCCCTCATCCCAAGCCAAAAATGCAGATGTTGGATTTTTCAAAAATATTATTGTTTATAATAATCCTATCTCATATTAAATATATATTTAATTACATTTATTATCACATTCATAAGTTATTTTATCAATTAATTTCGATTTCAAGTTTTCCGGCGTAATATTTACTTATTATTTTCAAATTCTTAGTGGCGCAATATTTATCTACAATTTTCAAATTTCTAGTCAAATAATAATTATTTCTGAAATTTCTTGTCCAACAGGAAGAAAGAAATTGCAACCTTGTCCAACGAGATAGAGTCCCCGCCATCAAGCAGTAACAGCTTTTATGGAGTTAGAAGAGTATATTATTTGTAATTACTGAAATATCACAATGGCCTGAAAGAAATATTTCCTCAGAAGCAATCAAATTATTGGATTCAATGCTTATTCCAAATTTTATTTTTCATTATAATGTATTATTTAATTATACAACTATTTTATGTATTACTTTTCAAAAACATTACATTGACTTGATTAAGAAGATAAGAATAGCGGAGAGCATTTTGTCAGAACTCAAGGAAATTAGGGCTAAAGTTGTTGAAGAATTTCATATTTTATTGTTGAGTCAAAAGCAGAGCTATACGTGTTTAATATTTGTCTCCCTCAACTTGTAGCAAGGCAAGCTCATCGTTAAAACATTAATATAGGATCAGTAGAAGAGTATATCTTAGATACAGATACATTTATAACCCAAATAAATGAATTTTTAATTCATCATGCAGCACTTACCAATCTGCAAATATTACTTCCACAAAAGCTTCCTAACCTTTTGTTAGATTTTTATCATGAAGATGTTAAAGTATCTTATGATGCCTTACTAGCTGAATAGCTATGTTTATAAGATTAACTATAGTTGATATAGTCCCAAAAAATGCTATGTATGCTCTGCATTATTTCAAACACATTTTGATTATATTCCCAATGTATTAAAAGGGTTAATATATATTAGTAACTCTTCCCATTAGTAAACTAATGAGAGAACATTCTCTTTTTTAAGAAGAATAACAGAACCCTGCAGAAGAATCATTATGCAGGGCCACGGCCCGGATTTTTTTTAAAAATTTTTTACGGTACGAATTTATTTTAAAAAAAATTTCAGGCCTGGCCCAGCTTTTTAAAAAAAATTTTTATGCCCGGCCCGGTTAATTTTAAAATAAATTATATTTATTTTTGATTTTGGTAGCTAATAATAACTATTTTAAATATAGGCTGTTTTAAAATATACAGCCTGCCTGGGTATTTTTTTAAAATAATGCATGCGGCCCGGGTATATTTAAAAAAATTAAAATGCGGTTCAGCCCGGGGGCTGGGCTTGCAGGTCTCTGAAAAACATATCAAGAAGTACAACTTCTGAAAGTAGATTGAAAGGTTTGGATCTTTTGAAAATTCATAGGCATTTGACGACAAGCAAGAATGAGATAATTGATAAATTAGCTCAATCCCAACGAAGATTGGATTTTGCATTGTAAATATATAACATACAAAATACAATTATTCCTAAGAAACTTTTTGTGTATTAATTTATATTTCCAACATTTAAATTTTTTATACTTTATATATAAATTTTAAAGGCTCAAAAAATTCAAATTTCTATTTTGGGTCATTTAAGTGATTCTTATAGTGGTTATATTCACTTTATATTTTATAATTCACATTTATTTTATAGTTTTTCATATACCGCCAGTTATATCCGTTTAATATTTTTTAATTTACATTATTATATAGTTTTTTATATGCCAGTTTATACATATAATTTTTTTATAATTCACATTAATTTAAAATTGTGTATTAGAAAAAGTTATCATTCATAATAAATTTATGCTTAATATTTGAAAAAAAACAATAATAATTTTATTATCCCCCCCCCCTCCCCCCAGACCAAATTCCTGCTAAATGTATATATATCTATCATTTATATTTATTATTTTGGTTTTATATTTGGATATAAAATAGAACAAACCATAAACTCATATCAGAATTTATTATGTTGATAAATTGATAAAACAAAAACACTAAAAATAATTAGGAGAAATTATTTAAATATATTGGAACGTTGTTTACACGGTGATGCCATATCATATTAGAAATGAAACATTTTAACCAGAGTGATATGATGAAAGCAATTAAGATTTATGTATTATTGTGACGCCATCTCGAGTTGGTATATTATATCTTAAAATAATAGTACTTTGTAATAATATCAAAAATATACTCGTATTAAAAATTTAACTCAAAACTGTTTTTCAAATAAGAAAAAAAATAGTTTTTCTAAAAACACATAAAAAAAAGAGAAGAAAAGATATCTAATTTATTACATCCATTGTGGGATGAAAATGTTAAATTTTAAATAATATTAATAGATGGCGTTAAAGAATTGAATGCAAATTGTTACGTATATTTATTATCAAAAGCATTCATTAATAAAATTTACTAAAATATTATCTATAATATATTATATAACTGTCAATTACGTCTGTAAAAGTGGCATTTTACCTAATAATTTATAACCAACTATATATAATAGGGTACTATAAACTATATGTCTACTTTTTTATAAAGAAATCTATACTTATTTAGACCTTGAAAATATTTTTAGGAAGAGACATGGTAATTAAATTTTAAAATTTATAATATAATTGATTAGTTATTTTGAACTCAGTTAATTACAATATTAAATTTGTTAATTTTAAATTAATAAATGATTATATTTATTTAATTAAAGTTATATAATAATTTAAATAATAAAAGTCAATTAAGCTTTAACTGTTAATGCTAAATTAATATTTAGTGAGTGATATTGATAATCTATTTTTAACACAGAATTTGATTGCAAGCTAACATAGTGAAAATATAATTTACACGCATTAATCTAATCTCATTTAATAAAAATTTAGATACTCATATATTTTTAAATAATAAAATTTAATCTATATATTGCACAATAGAATTCCAAAAGAAATCAATGAGGGAAATTCAAAACAATTTATTTTTAGTTCAAGGGGATATTAAGAAGCCATTAAAAAAAAATTTTGCTTCAGTGGGCTATTCAAAATTCTTTAGGGGGCTCGAGCCCCTGCCCGCCCTTTCCTAGTGACGCCTCTGGAGTATGTTATTTGGCATGAATATGAGTTTACTAATGGATGTCTGACCCTTTTAAATTATGTTAAAAATTAACAGAAATTACCCAAAAAAATATTTTATTGGAAAATTAATGACTGATTATATGCAATATAGGTTTGAACGATATTTGTTGATATCTTTTTAGGCCTATAATAAGAATATTAAATAATTTTATACAGCAATATATTTTGCTATTTCATCAATTTTTTTTGATCTCCTCCCAATAAATTTATCCAACATGCCTACCCCCTACCTTCCTTCAAAAAATCTTTAAGGAAAATGCTACAACATACTACACCCCCCCCCTCCCCCCCATTATCCTATTCTCATGTAGAGTGGATGTGAGATTTTGAAAATTTGAATGTGCACAAGTGCTAAAAATAAAATTCATAACTTTCTTTCCTCGCGTTATTAGCTATGTGATTTTGGTGATGGGAGTTTTCAAAATCCCAGAAATTTCATTTTCACAGCAAATTGCATTAGTTTTTTATATTAGAGATTTTGTTGTAAGTATTTTTTATTCATTTATAAATTTTAATTATTTGTTAAATTTCATTATAGGTATTTTACCCTTGGTATGATTAAACAAACAAAATTTAGAACAATATAAGTTGATAGATTTTGCTAAAAGATGCTTAAATCTTTGTGCCATCTATGAGAAAATTCTTCAGACTTGCTAAATATCCTTCTGGATAAAATATTTAGCTTGGCTTTTCTAAATCCAGCTTAAAAGCGAGCCGTTAATTATTATCTTTTTAGCATAAAAATGGGCCTTTAAAATATAAGGTTTTTTTTACTATTTGCTTAAAAGCATTTAACTTTTCTCATATTTGTGTTATTGTATTAAATGGCAATCTATCATGTTAAATGATACATCGCTTGTCATGTGACGACAATAATTGACTGGAAATGATCATCTGATTTTAGAAAAACCTCAGTTAAATTTCAGAAATACTCTATGTCTAGTCCATTTTATGTTTCAGACGACGAAGATGATAATACAGAGTCATGGAAAGTAAATCCAAAGAAAAACTTTTTTGATGAATGCTATGATAATAATGATCAATTCAAGCAAAAAATAGATGAGATAAGTCGCTTACAAAATAGTGTTCTATCAAGTTCAAAGTTTTGTAATCAAATTATCAATGATTCAGAAAATATTGGAGCCCTTACTTCACAAGTTTATAATATTATACTCTGCTTAATTAAATTTTAATTTTAGGAACTTTCTGAACAACGTGAGCAGTTAAAACGAATAGAACAAAACATGAATAGCTTAGATGCCAATTTAAACATTTCTCAAAAGCATATTAATTCCCTCAAAACATTTTTTGGCTCTGTCACTAATTATTTTTCAACATCACGTAAAAATTCTTTGCCTGCTAATAGCTCAAATTCCATTAAAATAAATTCTTTACCCAAAATACAAGATGATGACAATGATATTTCAAAATCTACAAGGAATCAAATGTCTCAGGCATTAAAATCAAACCCTATTATTAAATTGGATAGTGCATCTACAATTATCAATGAAAAAAAAATTTTGAAGAAAAAGGAATTTGATTCCATATTTGATCAAAATTTAGGTAACAATTTGATATTTACAACTTTATATCTATTTTATTAGATGATATGTCTGGTGGTATGAACAGACTAAAGGAAATGGCATTAAACATGAATCAAGAACTTGATTCTCAAAATTATATGTTAGATAATTATCTATACAAAGTTGACAATACTGGAAATAAACTCACAGAACAAAATAAACAGATGAAAAAAATCTTAGGTGGAAAATAAAATAAGCAGATTATTATTTTTTAAAAATACACAAGATATGCATTTGAATAAATGTAAATTTTTAATTTATTTACTATATTAATATAATTTATAAAAAAATAATATAAATTATAATATTAAAAAATAATGATCTAACTATTTATTTGCTCTTGAAATGTTAAATTTTATATTTAAATAAATATAAAATGTTTGACAAATAATGTATTTAACTTAGCCTAAATTTTTTATTATTATCTTGTGATATAATTTTATTTTAACATTATAACAACTACTAATAATGGGAATGAACAAAAAAATCTTCAATTCATATTCAGTTTTGTAAGCAAGCCTGATTCATGATACTTATCATTTACCACACCCATCCTTCTCTTAATAATTCATAATATAATATAATGTAATTTTCCATAAAAATTAAACCTATATAAACAAAAAATCTTTTCCATTATTTTCTTAAGATTTTTATAACTCATATATTTTTTTATATATGCTCAAATTCTTACTAGGCCAGATTATTTCTATCTTAAATAGGCAAACAAAAACAAATACCTTTTTCATTATTTAATGTATTATTTTTTTTAACAGCCAATACATTTTTTATGTATGTTTAAATTCCCAATTGAATATCTAAACCAACAAAATATATCTTTTCCATTATTTTTGGAAAAATTATTCTTTGAATTTATCTAAAAAAATATTTTTTTTATATTTTCAGTATTTTCTAAAAAATGATGCAGTATTTAGGTTTAAATTATTAATCAAATTTTTCAACCTATGAATAATGTCTTTTTAAGTGAAATTTTTTTATAACCCAGTTTTGTACATATTTTCAAACTCTTAACTTAATTAGTTCAATAAAAAATATCTGAGTATTTTTTGAACATTTTTATTGGGGTCGTTTTCCAAATGCGTTTTATCCAAGACAACAAATATTTTATTTATATTCATTGGAATATCTCCACATATATAAAGTGTGTTTTTTTTAGATTTGTAGTTTATATTCCATTTGTTAAATGAAATGAGTATTTTGCCCGTGATTATTGGACTATACACTAAAGGAAACGAATTAATCTATTTTCAATTCGTTTAGAATTATATGTAATAATTCAGATCAGTGTTAAATACAATAATAGTTTTTTTTAATATTAAGTTATTTGTTATATAGCCTACTTATTAATATGATTAATAACTTCTGACAGAATACTTTTAGGTGTCGGTAACCTAATAATATAAGGTTTAACCTAGAGGTTTTTTTCTTCTATTTTTTTTAAAAAATACTATTACATAAATAGATTTTTTTATATATGTATTTCTATTTCGCGAAATTCTTAAATTATATACGTATTTTTTTAAAATCTTTTTTAATTTTATTCCATTTAAACTTTTATAAATACTTATATATTTTTTATTTTAGAATATATAACTTAATGTACTAATTCGGCAATGAAACTCAATTCATGGGTGATTTAATTTTAAAAATATTATTTAATTATCTTACGTTTAAGTTAAAAAAAAATTTTTTTTTTGGAGGGATCAAAGATATCGATTAATTAGTAAAAGGATCTCGAATCCCCATATTTTTTAGGATTAAAGGTCTAAGCAATTGATTTAGAATCATAGATATTTGTATCCGTATTCTTTAACAACTCCGATTATTGTTAATTATTGAATATTCAAATTAGAAAATGCTTGATATTAAAAGGAATAGTCATCTAACCAACTAGAAGATTATCATTTTTTTAATTAAACTTGCTATAAATTAGTTTAAAAAAAATCATTATATCTTTTCAAGACCCTTGGAAAAGCTTTATATAGACTGGACACGTTCTAAAGATCATGCATACAATAAACAATAGCCTCAGAGAGAAGACATACTTCGTAAAGGACGTCTAATTTACTTTGTACATAATTAATCTATAATACTATTATTCCTGAAAAGAATATAACGAAAATTATTAATTTAATACTAATTTTTTTGCAAAATATTTTGAAATATATTTTTTGATAAAGTTACAAATTTATCTCTGAACCAAATTAGTGTAATTCTCTTTGCAATGATTATTAGGGAGGATCTATAAATCGTCAGTATTACTCCTATTTCTTGGGAATATGTTGATTTTATATGAAAAATTTGTGAATTATGGCGTCTTTAAGCGTTCAGTTTTTCAATTTTACCATAATTTCTGACATAAAAATTTATTAAAAATTATTTTTAATATTTCTATCACGCACTTTTTTAAATAGAAGAAAAAAATTTTGAGATGATTTTATAGAAAGAAAAATTAAGGAGGGGGTGGGGGTTTATAAATTTAAAAGAATTGAAAGCAAATTTTTTGCCTAGATACAAATAAAAGGGTTATGAAAAAGCAAAATTTCATTATTCATATTTTCTAATTCTAAGCTATTGCTAATTATGATATAACGCATTCTACTTTAATTAAGCCCTTGATATTAGATCAGGAAAGTAGCCAGGTTTCAGTTAGGGGAACGGAGTAACAGTTTTATCGGGGGGGGGGGAACATTTTCAAATATTGAGACAAATTTGGATGCCAGATTTAGGGGCCGAATAATAGTATTTTTTTTACAAATACCTTTTTTTAAAAACACTTTAAATTTTTAAATATATATCTTATGTTGTAGACGAACGCGTTCATTCAACTAGTTCTGAAAATTCAGAATCAGATGAATTAACATTACCATGGCCTAAACATATCTAAATATATTAGTTTGCAGTAACATATTATATTCAGTAGCGTACGCAGGAATTTGGTGTGGGGGGGGGGATAATTAAAATTTTTTTAAATAAAATTATTGTTATTTAAAAATATCAAGCATAAATTTATTAGGACTAATAACTATTTCTAATATACAAATTTAAATTAATATGAATTATAAAACATTAAATATATAAACCGGTATATAAAAATAAATTTGATTTAAATAATATTAAACGGATATAACCGGCGGCATATAAATACTTTAAATAAATCTGAATTATAAAATATTAAGTGGATATAACCAGGATATGATGACTATAAAATAAATAATCCATAATAAAAATTTAAATTTTTTTGAGCCTTTAAAATTTATATATAAAGTATAAAAAATCTAAATGTTGGAAATATGAATAATTATATTTTTTATGTAAAAGAAAAAATATAGGACATTAAAAAATGATAGCACAAAAAATATTATAGAAACATATTTTTATAATGTAAAATCCAATCTTCGTTGGGAGTGAGCTAATTTTTCAATTATCTCATCCGTGTTTGGCGTCAAATGCCTATGAATATTCAAAAGGGCCAGACCATTCAACCTACTTTCAGAAGTTGTACTACTTAGGTAAGTTTTTAATCTTCTTAAAGAAGAGAATGTTCTCTCATTAGTTGCAGTACTAATGGGAAGAGTTGCTAATATATATATAATAATTTCAATATATTGGGAAAATAATCTAAAAGATGTTTGAAATGATGCAAGGCATCCATAGCATTTTTTGGGACTATATCAACCATAGTTAATCTTTTATACCATAGTTGGCATTCAGCTAATAAAGCATCATGAGATACATTAATGTCTTCATGATAAAAATCTTTCAAATATTTTATTTTTTTTCTATCACCATCTGAAAAAGGTTCCGAGGGCTTTTGCGGAAGTAATATCTGCAGATTGATAAGTGCTTCTTGATGATTTAAAAACCTTTCATTTACTTGGGTTATAAATGTATCCAAAAGAGGTATAAAGACATTTATTTTATAATATTCTTCTATTGACCCTATATTTATATTTGGCGATAAGTTTGCCTTACTGCAAGTCGAGGGAGACAAATATTGAACTCGTATAGCTCTGCTTTTGATTCAACATTAACATATAAAATATGAAATTCCTCATCAGCATTAGCTCTAATTTCTTTGAGTTCTAATAAAATTGTCTCTGCTATTCTCATCATCTCAATCAAATCAATATCAGGTTTTTGAAAAGTATTATATAAAATAGTTGTATAATTAAAGAATTTATTAATACATTCTATGCGAAAAAAAAAATTTGGTATAAGTATTGAATCCAGTAACTTGCTTGCTTCTGAAGAAATATCTCTTTCAGACCATTGTGATATTTCTGTAGAAGCCTTAATAATCGGCTCTTCTAACTCGATAAAAGCTGTTACTGCTTGATGTCGAAGACTCCATCTTTTTGGACAAGCCTTTTGCAATTTTTTTCTCCTTGTTGGGCAAGGAGTTTCAGATATAATTTTGTTCAAAATATTTTGACGCTTGGGGTATCTAAACATCTCATAGATGCTAGATATTTTACCTGATATAAATATAAAAAATTTAATTTTAATAATTAAAAACCTAAGCAATTTGTTATCAATGGTAAAGAACATGAATCCGATATTGCTAAGTTGAGTGAATGGGCAGCACAGTGGACATATATAGCTGTTGGGCATTTTTTTTAATAAATGCCTGAAGCCCATTGAATTGCCCACTCATTGCACGTGCTCCATCATACCCTTGCCCACGTATCATATTTATATTTAGCTATATTTTTGAAAATAATTATATAATAAGATTAATTATTACTTTTAATTTTTTAAGATTCACTTATGATGAATCTTAAAAAATTCAGTTATTTTATTATTACATAATTAAATTAACATTTCATTTTCAAAGTAGGTGTTTAAAAAAACCTCCAAAAGTACATAAAAATGTAAAATTATTTATTAAATAATACCAGCTAAGTTATTATAAAACTGCCCAAATGTATTTTTAGAATAACTGACCTTAAAAAAAGTCTAATATCCATGACTAGAAATTTGAAAATTATAATACCGGGAAATTTAAAAATAATAGATAAATATTACGCCACAAGGAAAACTTGAAAATGAAATTAATTGATAAAGTAAATTAGTAAATGAAAAAGGTAATAATATAAAAATTTAAAAAGAAATAGATATGAATAAATATAATAAAATATAAACATATAAAAAATAATATTTTTGAAAAATATGCCCGGCATCTGCATTTTGGCTTGGCCCTCACTGCGTACGCCAATGATTATATTCAATGAACTTATTCTATCCTTGAAAAGTAAAATATCAGTTTCAAAATTTTCAATTTCTAATTTAAAGAGATATTTGATTGTATATTTATTTTAAATAATATTAGCCAATTAATAATTTATTAAAAATTTTGGTATTTCACAGGGTTTATTAAATTATTATAATAGAAAAATAAGGTAAAAATAACTAAATATTATGTATAGATATAAAATAGTTAATATATTTTTGAATTTTTATTTTTTAGTGCTTGAAATTTCATTTTTTTTAGTTTTTATAAATGGTTTAAAATTTTAATAGTTGAACTCAATTTAAAATAATATCTTATAATAAATTTAATATGACGTATAAAATTTTATATATATAAAAAATCAATAATAGTTTATTTTTAATAAATAAAAATACTTATTTTATTCACTTAAAACCAGGGACCCGGAGTGAACCGTAACGAACCGTTAAACCATTATAAACCGTTATAAATATCAGAACCGTAATCGAATCGATATAATAATTTTTTGAAGGAGTAAAAAGAACCTTTATAAAAATAGGTTAAACTGGTTCAAACCGTTTTAGTTTATATACTTAAGGAATCAAAAAAATTTGAATATCCAGAATTATATAAACTTGCTCTTATAGTACTGGTGGTTCCCGCAACACAAGTTTCTGTAGAAAGGACCTTTTCTGGCTAAAATATGTGTTATCGTCACAATAAACAAATATGAATCCATTTATATTAGAAAATATTTTACTTATAATATATTTAAAAATGAGTTATTTTGAATCTTATATATTTTTTTATATATAATTCATAGATCTTATAATAAAAATAAATTAGACGATGGTGTTGCTTCAAAAAAATTTTTTTTTAAATTTAATGAACCTTTATAATTAGCTGAACCGAACAGGACCTTTGTAAATTTTTTCTTAAGAAACGTAACCAAAACGTAACCATTATAATATTTTACATACTGAACCGTAACCTAACTGAACCGTTATAAATAACGGTTCGGATCCCTGCTTAAAACTATTAATTTTTAAACATGGCTAATATATTGTTAAAAAATATATGGTATTTATCAGTGTTGATAAAAGCTACCTTTAAAAGAAGAAGCTAAAAAAAGTAACAAAAACTACTTTAAAAAATAGTAGTTAAAACTACCTTAAAAAAACTTTTGCGCTACTTTATAATTTTTTTAAAATATTTTTTACGCATCTCTATTTCTACAATAAAAAATATGACTAAAATTTCAAATATAAATAATTTATTTATTTATTGCATCTCAGTAATAATATTTCCATACTGTCATCTCCAAGTCTAGAGCGACGATCAGAAAGTATAAGCTATGACTATATAATCGTTCAACACTAGCACGCAATGCAGTATTAAATTTATATTCATTTGAAACGATTTTCAATATTATTTATTTCAAAAAAATCATCTATGATAGTGGCGTTTTTGATCTGGTTAGGGTGAGTCTAAAATGTATTAGTAATAGAATAAAATTATGTAGGGATAAGTGGATGGCCATGTTTGCCAACTTGATAGGCCACAACCCTTTAACTTTTTATTTATTGAACCAATTTCTCTTAAAATTGGTTAAAAGGTGAAAGGACTGAAATTATTTTTTAGCATGATTTGTTGAAATTCATTAATAGATGAGTCGTTAATTTTAAGCATGTTTAACATCCAGATAATTTATAAAAATATCATTAAATAGTTTTAAAATGAAATTTTAATATTAATTATTATAATTTTTAATTTATGCAATATAATTCTTGAATAATATCTTATGGCTAGTTGATGAAACACCATGTTTTTGGACTGGGCCAGAAAACCAACGTTACATAGACTTATCTAACGATTATAGATACAGCTTTGATTTAAATTTTATTTTAAAGATTGGGCTTATATTACTTTTAAATGTTTCTTAAAACCTTCCGACACATCTTACAATGTAATTTATATTCTATGTTAATTTTTTTATCGATATTAAAATATTTTGCGAATTTAGGTAAAGGAAATTCCACGTTATCATCATCTTCCAGGGAAATTAGTTTGTCGATATGATGTATACATATATTATTTTTAATATCAATCTCCAATGTCTACATTAAAATAATTTTGAAAACTAAATTTATATTGCAGATTTTTAAATATAAATTTCAAAATTAAATAAAATGATTATGATTTTAGAAATAATAAAAATAATTTTTATATAAACTTAAAAGTAACGAGCGACCGCTATCATTTTTTAAAAGTAGCACGCTAAAGCTACCGCTCCTGAAAAAATTAGCGCACTATAGTAGCACGCTACTTTAACAACACGGGTATTTACTTATATTAAATTTTCTTAAAAAAATTTATTCATAAAGTTTTGAAGGAACGTGGACGAGTTTCCTTTTTTGAAGCTGAAAGTGAACACATTCGATTTTTACCAATGAACGTTGAACGCGTTTAATTTTATTAGAAATGTTTAAAGCACTATATATATCCAATAACAAATATTTAATTTTATTCCTTATTTTGAGCACATGCCATAATCTCTAATTTGGTTGCTAACAATATTTATTGAATAAAGTCTATAAATTATCTGTTGGTAAAAAAATATAACGATCAAGACATTAATAGTAATAATAAAGGATAATATTATTAATGCACATAAAAACGAATACAATTTAATCGAATATATATAAGTATGATATATATATATATTTAGAAATTAAATAATTGTGTTATAAAATTTTTGTTTTATATACTATACAAATTAATAAGTGATAAAAATCATTAAAACATATATACAAATATTTCTCCCCAAAAATAAAAAAAGGTTTATATATTTTTTTATCACTTTTTCGAAGATTAGGAAATGGTTATAATATGTCTCAAGACTACGAGAATGTAATATGCGATATAAAGAATATTATAGCAAGATAAATATTTTTTATAAAAAAAAGTTGTTATGTTCGGTCATTTAATCTACCTTCACGACGCTGTATATCTTGGAGATAAACCAGTAGCAAGCAAAAAATCCGATAGTGCCTTGTTTTTTTGATTTTGTATAATATTTAAAGTAGTCAGTATTTTTTTTTAAAATGAATTATTTTTAAATAATAATGTATAGTAGAGCACTTCACTCCATTTATATTGGACCACTCTTATTGCTTAAAACTTTAATTAAAAATAAAATCAAGAACTATTTTTTCCCCACGACCTTTATAATTATATTTTTGCTCATAATCAATCCAAATTTAACAATATATAGACACTTTGATTTCTATTGATTAACATAATTACCCGAGTCTTATTCTTATTGACTCATTTTGTTTAAAACCCTTAAAAAAAGAAATGATAAAAATTCAAATTAAAAAAGGCGCAATATAAATGGATTAAGCAAAAATAGTTACATTTTTTTCCTTCTTTTTCTTACTGCAAATTGCATAGATTGGTATAAAAAATATCTTTACCTGTCAACAAAAAGAACATGAAGGTAAGGATGAGCGTGTACCCAAAATAGAGAAAAGTGCTGGCCAAACCCTTGATAGCCAATGTCCTGAAGAAGTAATTGATGCAATAAGCGAAAAAATAGAAAGATGTACTACCGCTAGTAAAGAATGCCCTCCACCACCATCTGTAATCCTGTGAATTTTTTTAAAACACATTAATATGTGTGTTATTTCAAATAGCGATTCTAATGCCAATGAAACATGACGCTCATATTTTAACGTTTAATGAGAAGAAGGAAATAAAAAAAATGATTGATTATAAGGCGACTACAAAAATGAATGCTTATTATTTAAATTTATATAATAAAAAATATATCTTTATAAAATAAAAAGTGGTTTTTATTTTTAACAACATTTGAACTAATTTTATTTAATTACCTCGGAACATAGGTGGAAATAACAGAGAAGAATGCTAGTTTCGGAGCATGTTATGATAAGTATGATGAACACTATGAACAAAAATCCAAACATGTAATACATTTGATTGGCCCTAAACAAAAGAAATTCTATTATTTACAATCAACAAAAGTATATTTTTTAAGATTTATTTTAAAATAAGTTACAATGTAATAAGTTACTATTTATTATAACTTTCTTACTTTCACCCTATAATCGTGTGCATATTTTATTTATCATACCATAGGCTGTTAAGGATGAAGAAAAGTTGAATAAAGATGCAGCCGAAAGGCAAAATACCGCCCATAATAATGCTGGGGATTGGTGTTGTGTAGAATGTTTGGTCAGGGATCTGTCTGGGTATTTGATTTGTTCTAACCGGATGTTCCAATGCCTAACATTTAAAAATATATTCATTAACGATAATCGAACGCCAGAGAAAACGGCGCCATTTAAATAGTATTTTGTTGTACACCAAGGCTCGGACTAAAAACAATTTTTTTTTCTTGAATCAAAAACAAAACACAGAATTTTTGTCTTATTTTTAAATATCAAAACCCTATTCCACGTATTATAACATTTTCATTATTTTTTTTATAAATTTCATAATAAATCACTCAATTAGAGGTGCATTGGATGAGATGGTGTTAAATGGATAGATTTGAGCACTTTTTTAAATGAGCGAAATCATGATTTTATCCAAACAATATCCCCCCCCCCCCGAGATTTCGCGAATAGATGTCCAAATCTTTCTGCCATTTATGAGAAAATCTCTAGGATTGCGTAATATTTTTTTTGGCCAAAATCTCGAGTTAGCCTTTTTAAAAATCGAGCCATTTAACAAACTAACTGAATCCAATTTCTTCTACCTGGCCGAGTCCAGTGTTGGATCTATAAAAAAATTTATTAACTCTTCTACGTAGAATATATAATAAATTCAATTAAAATATATTAGTATATCTTCAACAATACAATAAATATATGATGGTATTAGGGATTTATCCATCATTAATTTTCAAAACAATAATAAATTTATTTTTTTAAAAATAATAAGATAAATTATATAAAATAAAGAATTAATTCTCGGATTTATAAAAAAAAGATGCACTTTCTTTTTTTGGGATAAAATGCAAGTATTTTTTTTTATAAATCCTCATTTTTTAAATAAATATTACGACATTTAATATAGTATATCTTAAAAAAAATCAGCTATTTTAATAGAGTTGAAAGGATCCAAATAAGGAAGATCCGAGCCAGGTCCAGATCCTATACTTATAATTTATAAACAAATTTTAAAGATTATTAATTATTTTTAAACTATATTAATTTGTGGCTATGTTTCCATACATCCTTTCGATTTTAAGTTTAAGGATATCGAAATGTATGACTCAGAGGAAAAAAAATTTCCCCAAACCTTGATTACCTTTTTCTTGTAGCCAAAGTAGGCACCAATAAAAGTTAAAGGCAGTGATATGCCGAACCACATAGCCAGTAAGGCTAGAAGCGAGGTGAAAGGCACGGCCGCGGAACTTCCCTTTGTCCAGAGCAACAAGTTTAGGGCGAAAAATACGGCAAACACTATGCTGTAATTACAAAGAAAAAGAATAATGTATTTCGATATTTATAATAGTCATATGTCTAGAAGCATTGTATAAATTCGATATTGAAAAAAAAACGCAAGAAAAATTATATGGGAGGAAAATGAACATAGTCGAGATGTGCATTAACTAACAAGAACTAATCTATCAGACGGAGAGTACAATATTTTCAAATAAGTTAGTAATGCTAAGTAGTTCATATTTATGAAATAGATAATGGTTAATTTTAAAAAAGACGCAAAGGCCAGATTTTAGATTAAAATTAACTTTCCGTCTTACCCCGGACACAAGCACCCCGTCAACAGGATGTTAGTTTTCCAGTTATAACCGTGAAAGGATTTGTAGATTCGGGCCGAAACATAACCTGCCGGAGTCCCAAGACAAACGTAAAGGACGAGCGCGCAAGTCATAAGGGCACCACGGTTGGCGGGAGATAAAAAACCCAAGCAAGCGAATACTGTATATATTGAAAATATTTAATTTAGTATAGTAAATAATTTTAGAAAAAATAAATTAAGGCACATATTTTTAATATTCCATTTGAAGTAATAATGGAATAACATAGAATGGTTTGTGAGATATATTACATGAGCAAAGAAAGAAGAAATATATTTATTTTACTCAATGTGATAAGGGCCATTAGCATGATTTGAGTGCCGGATCCAAGGAATACCGATAATAAAATTCCTCTCTTAGGAGGTCTAAAAACGTCCCCGTGTACCAACTTCCATCCATATTCTTCCTGAACATCTTCCTTTATATTTTTAATCAGCAAAAAATCTATAAATGCTTGCATTTGAATATTGTCGATATTTAAATTCGAAATATTCTAGCTTCCCGCTCATTTCATAATAATCGACTTAATGAAAAAACTTACGGCGTCTATCTGGTTGTATCTGGCAATGTCTCGTCTCAGGGTTCGCAATAGAATCATACCAACCATGCCAGAAAGGAATAGAATGATCACTAAAGCATTCATTATGCTTAATTTTTATTAAAAGAGAATGTTGTATGTTATTAAACTTTAAAAAAAAAGATAAGTGTAGTTATCGGAAACTGGAACCGTGAATTTAGATTGTTATTAATTCCAACAAAATAATTCCAAGTTTTTTTTAAACAAATGAATTATTTTTTAAAATATGTTTAATTTAATCTAAAAAATAATACAACTAATAGGAATCTAAAAAATTCTAAGAAACTGCATTGATTTTTTTAGATTCTATTTTCTGTTCCGAATTTCTATTTGCTTTCTTTCGTACAGCCTCTGATATGTGCAGTAATAATGAGTGATAAGATCACTCATTAATTAAATTTTAAAAAATCCAACTAGATCAAGATTTTTTATTTCTAGAATGCAATAATCATGATTATTCATTAGGTTTACTAGTTATAACTTATTTTATAACACGTTTTTAACATTCCTCTAGGAACCAGATACTAAAAATGATCAATAGTATATCATCGAATTGGAAATTGGAGAAGTCTCGACATAGCATTAAATTCTTAGCTAACTTACACACATATGGAGTAAATAAGGTAACAGAATTTAATTTACATTAGACATCAAAAATTTTGAGGAAACATTAATATTCAAGGATTATTGAACTATATGAATATATGGGCATATTATTTTATCAAACGAGTATATTATAATTTTAAAATTAACTATAAAATTAAAAAATTATATTTTTATTAAAAATATTTTCTTAATTTCTAGAAAGTATATAGCGACGGATGCAAGGATGCTCAAACCCTAAATTGATAGACACACGGAATTTAATGATTTAAGTTGAAAATGCTATCAATACAATACCAATGGCGCACCCTCCAAATTCAAAAGTAATTATATTCAATTTTTTTTATGCCAATAATTATGATAGCTAAAACGCATTTAAAAGGACTTCGGAACCCTGAATCTATATAATCCTAGTTTAAAATAAAAACCGAAGAAATGTGGGATCTGTGGTATCTTTATTTTTATCAGGATTTATTTACTCTAGAATCAATCTTTATTATATTTTAAAACGAACAAAGTAAAGTTTCTTTTTCACTTTCTCAGGCCACTTCCAAACACGACGTTTTTTTTTAAAAGCGAGAAAAAACAAATACAGTTAATAGATGTGTTCTTCCAAACACAATGTTTTTTTTGATGCATACGATTTTGCTTTATTTTTAATATCAAATAGTTTGATATTTTTAACGATTAAATGGCGCTAATACGATTGAAGTAAACAATTTCTTTTTTAAATATTATAATATGCAATAATTTTAAACCATTTGAAACAAACCTATCCAAATTAAGTATTGGATGAATTGTGGATTTTATATGCTAAAAGGTAAATGTAAATCTTGTTAAGTAACACCTTTATATCTATGATAGGAAATAATGATAATAGATTTACTAGATAACTATCCATAATCATTATTATAAAAATGAATATAGCAGATCAGATATGACATTTATCCTAGAATATCTTAGAACAATTACAAACCTTAGCTTTATTGACAGATATGTTGTTATTGAAATATTTTTTACATTTTGTATAAATTTTTATAGAAATTTAATACACTTTTTTAAATATATTATAAACAATTACATATTTAGAAATAAAAATCTTGAATTATTTATTACACAGTAATGTGGATACCATTTAATATAATATAATTTTAATTCTTTATAAGTTATAGTAGCATCAATAGATTTGCTATCTGCACCCATATTTATCTTAAATGCATCTCTTAATTCAATATTGAAGACATGAATACAAATAATCTATTTAAGAATAAAGTTTTATCTTTCTCTAACTTATCCCTCTTAATATTCAGTTTGTTCTGCTTGTATAGGCTATTTGGAAATAATTTAGTCCTGTATGTTGTTTATATTTTAATAAGTTAATATTATATTAGCTTTGAAGTAACATTGGTCCCATTTTTGGAGATATAGTACTCTTTTGCAAAAATTATTTATTAAAATATTTTGTAATGTATAAAAATCAGATGTAGAAAAATCGCTCGTTGTTTGAAAGTAAAAAATATTGCGAAAAACATGCCTCGGAAAACGTTTTGTATATTGACATTATAAACAATAATAAAAAAAAATGTCAAAGAAGACAAAAAAAAACAATATTATAAATTGATAATACTTATAACTCGTTCATGTGTATAAAATAAAGATAAAAATATTTGTACCAAACATCACAAAAATAAAATTTTAAAGAATGATTACCTGAACCATTGTATATTAGCTTGTGGCATGGCATACATTACATAATCCCACCGGGAAGACCATTTGATTTTGTCATTAACCTATAAGATCACAAATTTCAAAATTAAATATTGACATATGGTTGATGAGGGGACTGAAGTATATAAAACATTAATTCTTCAGTATTCGATACCTATAATGTTTCTATTATGCAAAGATAGATATAATTAAAAAATGTATAGAATTTATCGATTTCCTATTTCAAAAATATGTACATTGAATCTCGCAAATAAGAGAAGATGTTTAAAAAAAATCGGTCACAAATCAAGAATATGGTAAAATTATTAAACGACACAAAAATAAATTAAAAATGTGAAACCTCAAAATTGACGGAATAGCTATAAGGAATCTCAAAATCTCCTACAAGTTTTTCCGGTATTATCAGGGGTTCAACTACGACATCTCCGCCCTTGAGCATGGCATTGGGATCCTTGAAGCTAATTTACACAAAAATTATAGAAAAGTCGAAGGTTTTCTCGATAGAAGAATCGGTGGAATTTTAATTTTAGGAACATGAATCGGCCTTGAATAATTTTGTGCTATTATATGAACCAACCCTTTCCGGGCGGGCCTCTAACATATGACCAATGGGAAACACGATGAAATTCGGGATATTTAATTTTATAAAAACGTAAGGAAAGTAAGAGACAGCATCTACGTAAAAATAATTTGGATGGTATCAATCAGGCAATGTAACATTTAATTGCACTGAATTGATAATTCAGGTGGCGAATCACTTTATAATTAATTACTCTTATATTTTATTAATGGGTCTCAGCGTCATTGGCTTAGGAGATTTGTCTCCCTTCACCCCCTTTCCAAATATTAAATAGACCAAAAAAACGAGATTTTTAACTACCTTTTTAAAAACGAATGAAACTTTGTATGATGATTATATAGAGTCCAACTTATGAATACGGAGTTATAGGTCAAACTCCTATTCAGATATAATTTCAGTTTATTAAGATCAAATTACTCGATAAATATTTAATCCAAATTATAAATCTTGTAGCCCTTAAGAGTTTTCTTAAGAAATAATAAAAATATTTTTAAAAACTTCTTCACTGTCTAGGTATTCCTAGTAAAACAAAAATGAGCAATTTTTTATTAATTCCATTTGAAACCGATGAAACTCATCAGATATGTATATTCCCAATATATTTAAATATTTAATTAAGAATTAGAATGGAAGAAATAAAAATTATTTCCTTTGCCATATTTGGAATAAAAAAATCAAATATAGATGCTATCTTTTAAAATATTTTTTATACATAATTATTATGCAATAGCAAGTACAGTTAAATAGAACGACCTGCAGAGGTAGATATTTTAAGACAAATCGGGCCCGGATTTAATTAAATACTTTCCAAGCAGGGTTACAGGATTTAAAAATAATATATTTGGCCCTATCTTTACAAGGAATTATATTGATAACAAAAAATTGAAGAGGCTCGAAAAAGAAGTTTAAAAGGTTTCCAATAAACGCTGTTTTATTCAAATGCCTATAAATTATGGTTATTTTTAATAATAGCGTCAAAATGATAGATAATCGTCGTTCAAACATATAAGGAGTAAATATAATAGACAGCCATGGGAAATTGTTTGTAATAGGTGTTTACAAAATTGAATTGCGATAAATTTTTTTTATAATAATTATATATATTTTATGTTTTAACATTATATTTAATGATTATTTATAAGATAAGATACCAAATTTTATTAAAATTATTTTTAATAACCCTCTCTAGATTTAGTTTTTCGTTCCCAAAATTAGGAAAAACAAAATAATTTTTAAATTCCTATCTCCTCCATTTTAATTCTTACTTAAACAAATAAAATAAGCATATTCGGCAAAACATCCCAAAGTGGAGTTAGCTCAAAATAACTCATTTTGCCTTATAGAAAACAAACACATCGACATAAGAATTTTTTTTAAAAAATATTTTCTTAGAGGATTTTAAGGCAAAAAAAGATATATAATTTATGCATCAAGACCAAATATTAATTGAGTAATTTGAGATTCTAAAACCAAGATAGTGCTTGTATTGGATTTAGAGAGCCCATAACGCTGGGCCACTTGAGGTAGAGCATTATAAAATGTTAATAAATTTTTCAATAAACAGAGACCTCGGCTTGAGTAGGTTAATGATGCTTGGTACCTTAAGGTACCATCAATCAAATTTGAATTTTGTTCATTTTTCATTTGGATAGGCACTACCAAATATATTTATAATATATATTTGAAAAATCGTGATTTTTGGAAAGCCTCTATGGCCTAGTAGGCAAGAGCTTGGTTTACTTATCCCATGGTCCCGGGTTCGTATCCCAGGAATGATCATGTTTTTTTTCTTATTCTAACTTGGTGGTTCCATCCTTGGGGGGATAAAGGAGGCCGGACTCGACCACGTGATTCCGTATTAATATATTAAATAATAAGGATCTTATTACATTTTAATAAATTTTGGTCGGTAATTAGCAAATTAGGTTGGTATTTAGAATATTTCCATACATTCACTTGGTAGTAAGCATCATTAACCGCTTGAGTACACGGGCTGGGCTGCATTTTAATATTTTTTAAATATTCCCGGGCAGGGCCTGAAATATTTTTTTTAAAAATCCCCGAACCTGGCCGCCTATTTGAACACCTAATATTTTATTAGGTCATTATTGGCTATAAAAATTAAATATAATATATTTTAAAAAAATCAGGCAGGTCTTTGATATATATAACTAAAAAAAGATTGGCCAAATAGTTGGTCGATTTGATATTAAATCACCCCCTATCGATTTAATGACCGACCTCTTAGAAAATAATATGGAGGCAATTTGCTCCTAGCCCCCCCCCCCCCGTTCAAGTAAATACTAATCCTAAAATTGTAGGAAAAGTAGATTAATTATAGATGTAGTTAATTAGTAATAAAACGATGCACAATTTACGAAAATGTATGTTAATTTATAAAAATGACCGGCCCTCGGGCTACAAATGAGAATTATATTTAACCCTCGGAAACTTCGGCCACGATGCATATTCATTCCTGCCCCTGCATTCACAGTTAGCAAGAATTCGCGGCGAAGTATATAAAAATGCACAAAATACAGTGGATTTTGTGTAATTTACAGCACATAGCTCTATTAATAAGGGGTGGGGAGGTAGGAAGAAAAATACCCTATCTTACTGAGGATCCTAAAGAATATTTATATATCCGCCAAAACATTGACTTATAAATTTCTTATCAATTCACGACTCCATGTATCCTATTATTCATGGTTTATAATAGTAATTTTATCAGCCATTTAAAAAAAATATATATATTAACATTTAAAAAAGAACATCATTTATAAATTTATTATGAATCAGATTAATTATTTTAAAAACTCGAAAATATCTATAAAATAAATAATAAAAAATTACGCAAGCGATGGGAAAAAAAACACCAATAAATATAATATTCGATTTTTATACCAAACGATTTTTACAAAATAATATTAAAAAAAAATAGATAAATTAAAAGTAAGAAAAGAAAATAAAACCTGAAAGGGATGATTTTAGCGCTGATGATCCTGCCACGTTTGCTATTGGAATAATCGTTGATAGGATTGTAGGTGACAATTATTTTGAGGTAATTGAACATGTAATACGTATTAGGCTTCAGGCTATCCGGCTAAATAATTTTTTTTAAAATTCCCGTATTGATAATGGGAGGATCTAGGTTAGTGTTAAGAAATCACCTAAGGGTGGATTCATAGTGGGATCCGATCCGACAAGATTTAATAGCTGATCGAATTTAAAAATCTTGTAATGAGGTCAATTTTTCTTAATTAAAACTCCATAATTATAATATTAATTATCACGAACAGAATTAAAAAATAAAATTAAATATTAATTAAAAAAAATTGATCACATAAACAGAGTTTAAAAAATCGATCAGCTGTTAAATCGTGAGATCGGATTCCACTATGAATCCAGTCTAAATCTAGTGTTAATGAAAGAATAAAAAAAATATGACTTAAAAGAATGGCTCCTTCCGAAACCGGAAAACTTATTTTTTAGAAGGGAATCGGAAACACTAATTATTTTTTTCCAGGTTCCTATTTTCCAATTTATAATATATTATATAAAAATCTTATGTTTCGTTTTACTTTTAAGACTATAAATGAGAATTATCAGCGAAACAAAAATATCCACAAATCGAAAAAAAAAATCATTCTTCATTTATTATTTCACAAAAGAATTGAAGAGGCCATTACGATATGGTATATTCATAGTTTCAAAAATGATATTTATTATCTAATTATACAACCTAAAGAAGATATTCAAATATTAAGAAGTAAAAATTGTGAGATGGGTTGCTTACGTTTATGTTAAACTTTTGTGATATTTCTTCTTTATCCATGGCTTCTCCGGTGTAAAATCCTATGGGAAAACTCCTGGAACAATATTCAACGTTTTTCGCCACGTAGCACCACAAAAAGGGCAGGTTATCTATGATCCTAACATGGAAATATGTTCATATTCGCGTTTAATTTATAGTGGGAAAAATCGGCAAAACTTTTAATAAAATATCCACGTCAAGTATCCCGTTGAGAGAGAGATTTATATAAAAACCGAGCAATTTTTTAAATAATTTAGGAACTTAATGAACAACGATATTTGGTTTACTTTAGCCCAGCGATAAATACTTTTTTGCAAAATCATGGGTCAAACTTATATGCCAAATGGTAGGCGTTTTTGTATGGGCCTAAATGAGTTATGAATGTTGTTACAGAATTTTTCGGATGAAATTTGTGTATGCCTTCAATACGAGGAGCATGATAACTGTCGTTTATTACCCTAGGGGTTTATAGTAGTTTTATAATTGATACATAACATAGAGTTGTTGAATTTTAGAATTGGAAGTATAAGAGATTCCCGGTTGACAAAAAACTTATGCAATTAAGTTTAACTTTTCCTATCCTATTAATTCTGTTTCTTATTTTCTTTAATTTTATGAAGGCCCCATCTAGAGTAAAACGTCTATCATTCGGCATTTCGGCCTTACCCATGATTTACAATATAATGGACTTATATCGCCGGGCTAAACCCCCTTCTATATTTATGGAGCTATTATTTATTTCTCCAGTATTTTATCCGAAATTTGCCAATATTCTTAAAAATATTTTCTCAGTATAATAACAAAATTGCTAGGGTTTTTATTAAATTTACCAGTATAAATTAATAGGTAAGTACATAGTTCAGCAAAAAAATTTTAATAGTATAATATATTTTTCCACTAATATTTTAATTATATTACCAGTAAAATAAACTAATTGTTTTAATAATTATTAGGGATGTACAGATATTTTTATCGGATCGGACCTATCTTCCTTAAAATATCGGGTATCGGCTGATTCATCCTTTTTAAAATATCAGTTATCGATCGATATTATAAATTTTTTTTATCCAATAAAATGGCGTCAAAAATTCATTTCAAATTTCATAATATATTTGTTTATTACTTATGTAAATAGATTAATGTAATAATATAAATAAGGGACAATAAAAATATTTTATAAACTTTTAGAATCATGAATATAAACTATAACTGATCATTATAATATATTTAAATGGCTTATGTTATGGTATAGTTAAATAATGTTATACTATTAAATGGTAATAGATGTATTCAATAAAAATTAAAACGATTAATTTTGAAGAATACAAAATGGGATATCAAATTAATATCGGCAATATCGGATCGACCTCCAAAAATTGGCATCCGTACACCCCTAATAGTTATAATGTAAATTTTAAGTTTTTTGACATTAGTATATAAATAAATGGAGATCGGGATGTGCCAAAAAATATATATATCACAAATCAAAACCAGTGCTGCTGATAATCCAGCTTGATTCCCATTTTGAGAAAATTAGCTCGGTTTACATCCTGGGGTTTACTGGAAGAATACTTTTTGGTGCATACCGTCTTTATGGGCAAGTCTTTCAGAAAGTATACCTGAATTTTGTATAATTATTTTTAAAAAAAATTTCAAAAAAAAAATGTAATCTTTTAAAACAACTGCGACAAATATTGACAATAGGCTCACGTGGGCCAATATTCCTGCAAGCAAATTGATGATATATATTTGCTCAAATAAAGAAAGAAAAATGTGTCTCAAATTAATTGATAATGGTAAATAAAAAAAATGTAAAATCTTGCTTTAAAAACAATTACTTGTGATAAATTGTCAATTCATCGTTTTTTAAAAAATATTATAATAGACTTCTTTTTAAAACTATCTTTCCTAAATTTGTTTTATTCCTTTCGTTTATAAAAATAAAGAAATAACTTCGTAGGGCGACGGCCTGATTCTATCCCCCAAAAATATTTGCCCTAGATTTTCTGACGGGGATTTGCTCTCGTCGGATAAACAAAAATCGAATCTAAAAATGTAAAAAAAATAAAATGTAAACTTGGTGATTTTTTTGTCTCGTGGTGTTATAAGACATTTTATAGAAGTCAAAATAATATTCATGCTTTTCTTTCTTCGTTTCGTAGCATATATAAAAAAAATAGATAATCACGAGCAAGAGATACCATTGACATGATTCAATTGCATCATTTTGCCCATTAAGTATATTCTCGTGATTAAACTAGCCCCGTGAAAATTTTTCGGGTTTCTCGGGCCCAGCCAATCGTAAAATAATTTTGTACAATTTGTTCTGCTATGCAAGGCCCGACCAGCCAGTAAATCCTTTTCGATTTAAAGTTTAACCTGCCCCCGCTCCTCTATGAAATGGATTCTTTTCAAATTAGACTTATTATACACAACTAGAATACTCTTTTCATTGCTTAAAAATCGTTATATAAATTTAATATAATCACCTGTGGTATTCGTAGGGAATGACCGTCTTTTCCGAGTCTAAAATGTTGACGAATACAGGTATTTCAGACTAAAAAATATATAATTTATTTAATCATTCAAATCTATAATTTTTTTCTTTCGCGGGCAATTTTAAAAAAAAATGCGTGAATAGGCAAATTTTGTAAAAAAAATTTTTATTGATGAGGGTAACAAAATTCGCGAATTTTTAATTGCTAGCGAAGACAAAGGTTATTAAGATATCAAAAAAAAATATTCAATCTTAAAAACTATAAATCTACACGCTTAAAAGACCAAAAAGGTAATCTTTTAAGAATTTCTTTTATCATTTTAAGATTGAATTTCATTTCCAATAGAAATATATTCATTTTGTGATCAAATTTTTTTTTATGATCAAGTCGATATTTATTTGTCAAATATTTTATTTTATATAAATTCTCTAATAATGATAAAAAGGAACATTTCAATTTATTTGTAATGTGAAATTTTTTTTTTATATTTAAAGAAAGAGTAGGCGGGTTGGGTTTATTCCATGTTAAATCAATAAAAAAAACATAACTTTCGCGTGAATTTTTAGGATTTGAGTGAAGTTTTGTATACTGACTAAGGAACAAGTAAATAAATAAGTGTTCATCGTTTTTTAACTTCGTAGCTCTTATATTTTTGGAGATATCAAAGGTCAAAGAAAGCGCGAAAATTGATCGTTATTCAAATAAAGATTTACTAAAAAAACTATAGAATTATAAATAATAACTAATATCAAGATAATATGCATACTTTCCTTCATTTAATCCGATTCTAAGTTTAAAATTCTTATGAAGAAATAATGAGTTTCTCCGATTTTAATAAAATTTAAAGAAAATTTAACTAAGATCAATCTATATCTGGATGGGAAAAAAATGGAATACCAAGTATCTGCCTCTATGATAAAAATTGACAAAAATACCTAAAAAAACCAAAAAATATCTTTTATAGAATAAAAATATGTAATTAATTGTTCTAATTATATTTAAAATGTTTTTATATGATATCGATACATGTAAAGATTCCACGTCCTACGCAATATTTTTTAATTTTTATTGGTAAAGAAAATATTTAAACAGTAAATGACATGTATTATAACCTAAAATGAATTATTCGTTATTCAATTTTATTCGATTCGTATCTTAAAAATACATATAAAATATTAGATTCGAAAATTAAGGACGAATACGGAAAATATATTATCAGTCGAATAACTTTTTATCTATTATGATCGAATATTCGTATATAATTTGTAAATATTCGAAATTATTTTTAATTATTTAACATTTCTTTGTCGAAATTTTCTGTTCTCTTACTTTTTTCCACATCTAGAAATCACTTTAAAATTTTAATAATAATCCATTTTTTCATTTTTGAAAATATTTAATTTTCGAATGGAAACAAATATTTGACGAATCGTATGAATATGAATTATTTGATTTCATTTGCAAACAATGTGTAAAATTAGAACCATCAATAAGATTTTTTTAAAAATTTTGCATAAATAATATACATTTTAAATTTTTTTATTATTAAATAAGTATCATAATAAATACAATAATATTAGAAATTAATTATATTAGGATATCTATTGAACAAAAAAACAACACTTTTTTTAGTTGTTTTTATCGATTTTTAAAAATATAAATAGAGATTAATCTTAGTGACATTTAACATAAAATTTTCTAAAAATCGGATAAATTCATTTGTTTTTGCAAGATTTTAAACTTTAGAATGATTCAATGGGCTCCCTCGTTAAAATGTAAATTTCAAAGTATTTCTTGTTTTGCCCATAGTTTACAGTTAATTTTTTTTTAATAAAATTTTTTTGTGACATTGGTTAAAAGATGTATGGTAAATGGAAATCAATTTAGTATGGATATTGGAAAATATCAGATAGATGAAAAAAGTGTGGAACGGCATAGCCCTAGGAATTTTTATAGCCGAACAATGATAATCTCTTCGATCACATATAAATTTCTCCATTGAAGGCCAAATAAATCTATTATCGATGAAATAACCGGCTTATCATTGCCTGAACAAGCTTTATAAGGTTAGCATTTCACAAAGAAAATAATGAATATACTAATAAAACTTTAAAGGGATACCATTACAACCAACTCTATAAGGAGTCTGAGTTTATAGTCAACGTAACATTGTAATGCAGGGTCGACCGTCCAACAACATTTATTTGAAACTATGATCCCGAGTTCATTAATATACAAGATTAATTTATCGATAAAATAAGGGAATAAATATATTTACTACATATTATTTGAACGAGAAATGTTCCATATGCTCGAAATTAAAACATTTCCCAAAACCTACCAGCCGGGAATATTATCTTTTCGGAAAACAACCTTACGCACTCCTTACTTTCTTTTAAAAAGTAAAATAATAAATTAACATTCATGGTTTAATGAATACATAGAAGGAGGAATAAAACGAAAATGATGTCAGACATATATACAATACCTAATAGATATTATGACAATTTAAGAAATAATTTTCCTGACTCGAGTAACTTATAAAAAAAAATATTTACCTAGTCTAATTTCGATAAAATACGAAACACGTCAAAAATATTGTGTAAATTTGTGTATCTATATTTCTTTTCGAAAACTCATTACTCGAAGAAGAAAAAAAAGTACTGCTAAATGGTAACCAATTAAAAAAAATAAATAATTAAAAGTAATCATTAATTTTACTGCCGAAAGATTTTTTTTTCAAAAAAAAAATTGATATGATTATCAGGTTGAATGTATTTGACCATAAAGATTTATAATATTATATTTTTGCGATTAAAAGAAAATAAGTGGAAGGTCGATATGGTTAATCGTTAAACACATATTATAAGACGTGAGATTTTTAGGGAATGCCAACAAATTGAAATATGGTGATTTTTGAAAACTTTAAGCCAGATATTCAATTCGTTTTTTAAGAATAATGAATATGTTGAGCGATGTATGATTTCATTAAAGTTCGTCAAGCCTATAAACTCTTTGTCTGAGCTGAAAAAGTTTTGAGACGAAATGATTTTTTAATGGTATTCAAAACGATCTCTTGCCCCTATAACCCTTATTTTAAAAAAAATTGTGACTATTTCAAGTCAAGCCTAACTATGTTTTTTTTTCTTGAAGATTTGAGAAAAATTCCTACTTGATCATAAAAGGGGGGGGGGGTTGATTTAATAAGAAATCCGGTATTAATATGCTAAGGTAAATGATTATTTGCTATCATTTCCATAAACTTGGTAGTTAGTTATCCGATTTGATGGTGTTCGTTCGAAATGAATCGAATAATTTAAACCTTAGTATCCTATGTATTTATTTTACGTCCGTAGGGGGGGGGGAATACGATAGACCAAACGATTTCTAAAATGTTTGTGAAATACGAAAAATCTGGATTAGAATCCTATAGGGGTCTGTTTTTTTAATAATCAAGATCGGATGCAGTAGCTTGACCTAATAAGCATCAGAAAAAGGTTCACTATAATAAGCCGCTTTCGACCAAAAAACCGTTATTTAAAAAAAATTTAATCAATTTATTTTTTAAAATAAGGATATTCAACTTTCTTTTGGCTGCGCCGCCTGTCAAAATTTATATTTTAAATGATTTATGCCTTTTTACTTTTGCTAATCTTTTCGGGTAAGGCTGGAAAACCTTTATAAAAATTTTAGCGTGCCACTTCGGGCAGTGCTGCTATTAAATAATAATTTAAGACGACCCCGATCCTCTAAAAAATAGAGCTCCATTCTGGACTACATGAAAAGCAAATGAGGTATGAAACTAATTAATTATACAAATGGCCGGATTACCAGGATGAGCTCAAAAATACAAGTTTTTATGCGGTCTTTCCTAGTATGCAAGCATAGAAATATGAAATTAATTATTAAAAAAATTTAAGATATTAAAAGACTCGTGACAAAAAAAAGGATCAATGTATCGTCGAAAAAAAATATATATAATAATTTTTCGCAGGAAAATATTATAAAATGAAAAGTTATTCACCCTTTAAAATTTTAAAGAGAAAGAAAATTTGTAAAACAATTGAGTGTAAGACTTTCTATAGAAATAATATGAATGAAATCGTTTCCATTGTCACGGCCAGTGCCATAACAAGTGGGAACTTGAGGGCCAAAATGGGTTTTATGAAATATAAAATATTAAACTACAATAAATTTAAGCGGAAACGAAAATGCTCTTTTTAAAATTTTTTAAATGGAAACTCTTTTTTAAACAGCCGTCAGGTAAAATTATATGAGGGGAATTGTCTGGGTAAGCTCAAATTGTTTAAAATATCACAAATGTAATAAATTATCTATTTAATTATTTTTGACCTTAAGGGTATTGATTTTTTAATTGGATAAAAGTTAAGTATATTTTCTTTTAGTTAAATCTATATATTATCATATTATTTTAATATGAAAATTAAGATACTAACATCTAATATAATTTATATTATCTTTTTGAAATAAATTAAATAATACTAAAATAATTTAAATAAGGTTTAAGTCAAATATGGGGAAGGATAACAAAAAGAACAGTTAGTCTGGTTCTATCCAGCAAAGCCACATGACACACACAAATGGAGGTAAAGGAAAGGGTGTTATGATTTCTTCCAGACCCATAGATCCTAGACAGGTTTGCGTAGGAGTAATATTTCCCAAGGAGGACCCTAGACTGCTGAAGCAAATGTGGCGCCGTGAGACTTGAATATACCATTCTCATTCTCAAGATTTGAATTGGTATATTCTCAGTCTATATTAAATTCAACCTCTGTTTTCTCATGAACATTGACTTCAAATGCATTCCAATACCCTAATAGTTTTAAACCTTTCCTACAATTCCTGATTTTTAAAAGGCCTTTTTTGCAAAGTTCAACTTAAGGATCAAGGTTATTACAAACTAGACAAGTGACAACATCAACCTTAATGAAAACCTATCAAATTATGGAAGGAGTCAAATGTCAATTTTTACAATAAACGATGCTATGAATAAATTTCTAGATATATTACCAACAAACGACAAGCAATGAATAAATAACTACATTCTTTCATTCATCAATTTATGAGAATTTTATACTTCACCTAACCCCTCCTAGATGTATATATAGGGAGGAGGAGTTTTTAATATTGTTTAGTATTTGTCTTTAGGGTGATTGGTCTTTTTATTCGATAAAATTTAAATACATTTTTTTCTCGTTAAATCGATATAAATTAAGGTATTAACGATTTAATACAATTGATGATTCTTTTTTTTTGAAAAATGCTTAAATACTAGTTTAAAAAATAATGTAATTTTAAAAGAACAATATGGCGAAAGATAATAAAAAGGATAGGCAATCCGGTTCTGAAAACCAGCAAGGCTATATGATAAATAAATATAGGTAATTCGAAAGCTCTTATCATTTCTTCTGGACCCGCAGACCTTCTTTTCGGAGCCTAGGCAATCCATGGTCAACTGCAGACATCTGGAGCAAGCTTAAGATAATAGCTAAAATAAATAGCCTTTAAACCAACAATTAAATTAGGACAGGCAGATACAACAACTTTAAACTAATTGTCAGGCGACTTTTGCTTATGGGTCCATTCCATACTTCTAACCCATCGTAACTAGTGATATGAAGGGGGGGGGTATCTAAAAAGCCAATCATAAAAAAACCTCAGCTTATAACCCAGGCTAAAAAGAGTTATGATTCTCGTTATTATATTTTTTTTAAAAAGGTGGATCATATTCAGGTTCATAATTATTTTTAAAGAGGTTACAGTTCTAGTTCTTGAAGATTTTGGTAATAAACACCCTTATTAATAATAAGCATTAAACATTAAATCCTCTAAAAAAAATTCACCCAAAATTCTCAACAGATATAAATTAGTTGTACTTGGTTAAAACTAGGGATGTACCGATATCACTTTTTGGAGGCCGATCCGATATTCCTGATATCGGCCGATTACCGATCCGATATCATAACTAATTTTGTATTCTGTAAATATACCAATGGTTTTAATTTGCAATATACTTTTTATTAGTATAACATCTATAATTTAATTATACCATAACTTATGTCATTTAAATATATTATAATGATCAGTTATAGTTTATATTCAATTCTATTGCTATTCTAAAAGTATATAAAATATTTTTATTGTTAAATCACTTTTATATAATAAGTAACAACATTAATCTATATACATAATAAGTAATAAACAAATATATTATGAAATTTGAATATATATTTAAAATACTATTTAACATTAATATATCGAAGATTTCTTTTTAGAAATACCAAAATTTCCAATTTAACAGAAATCAGCCTGCGGCGATGTCAATATCACCAGCTTCACTAAAAGCAGATTCTGAAGAGATTATCGCACACTTTTATAAACAGAATGCGCAAAAAAATAACAATATGGCAGAATGTTTATTAATTAATTATTATTAAAAAAATATGGATTTCGATTTTATTTATTAAAATAAATGATTTTAGATATAACCTTTTTTAAAAAATTTATAACATTTTATTTTAGTTAAAGACGCCATTTTATATCGGATCGGATCGGTAAATTTTATAATACTGGCTGGTAACCGATATTTAAAAATAGGTGAAATATCGGCCCGATCCGATAAAAATATCGGTACATCCCTAGTTAAAATCAGTTTGAATTGTGGTTTTTGTAAATTTCAAAGCGGGATTCTAGTTTTTAGATTTTCAACGAGTCTGTTTCCTAAACTCTAGGTTATCTATCCTCACCATCGTCATGTTAATAAATTTAATGCAAAATACTTGTATCACAACAAAGCAAGAATGAATCCCTAGTTTGTTAAGTGTAAACTTATGATAAAACTACTGAGGTACAATTATTAACTTAAATAATTTTGCAAATTTGGTCATTTTTCTCAAGAGGGCCATTAGACTTTTCAGTTTGCCGGAGGTCAAGGTGTTCAATTATTTTTTTGTTATAACAATATATAACTAATTCCAATTTTTGCTCTAATTTTTGACTAACAAATTATTTGTTAAGGTCTGCATCCAAAAATTGTTCCAAAACTTTTATAACTTTTTGAAAATCATAATATTTAAAAATAATGCTTTGGTATGATTATTGATTTTTTTTTATCCAAAAAGGGCTTATTTCATGGTTTTTGTAAAATATTCCGGATATTTCAAGACAAATCACCCAGTGATTCGTGCGACCATTTTAAAAATGGATGAAACTTTATGTATAGAAATAGATTGTAATTTTATACAAATTAAAATTTTAATGTTCTAGCTCAAATATATCCAGAGTTATGGGCCTTTAAAGTTTGTTGAGAGCCTTTTTCAAAATGCTCAAAATATTTTTGGCAAAATAAAAATTATATATCTTATAGCCCTTAAAATTCTCCTTAATAAATGCAAAAATAATCTTAAAAATAGCCACAATATTGTTAATTCCAGTAAAAATTTTGAAAAGTGCCCCATTTAAAAAGATGATACTCATGAAATATGTTTATTGTCAATATTTTTAAATATTTTAAAAACATTAATGGAGAAAATAAAGATTTGAATTTCATTTAGTTTTTTCTTAATTTTACGAATGAATAAATCAATTATAGAGGGCGCGATCTTGAAAGGTAATTATAATGTATTTTTTAAATAAAAATATTCATTTTATTTTATATTATAACAAACCATTAATATTTCTATAAAATTATTATATTTACTAGAAATTTCTTTAAAAAAATTTTGTTCCCCAATAAAAAAAATTATTATAAATATTTTTAACAATAGCGCCCTCTATAATTAATCCTTTTATTCATAAAGCTAAATAATTTAAATTCTAATTTTTTCCATTAATATTTTATTTAAATAATTAAATATATTGATAATAAACATATTTGATGAGGTTAATCGTTTTAAATGCTCTATATAATTGTTTGCTTTATTCCTAAATTATAAAAAATTAAATAATTCAAATCCTCAATTTCTCCATTAATATTTTTACTTAAATATATTGGCAATAAACATTTTTGGTGAGTTTTATCGTTACAAATTAGGCTCTTCTCAGAATAATTTTGTTTTATTTACCAGAATACAATACATAATTTTTGCATTTTCTTAAGGGGAATTTTTTCTTAAGGGGAATTTCGAGGGCTACAAAATGATAAATAATTTGTTGTTTTAGACCAAATTATTTTGAGTAATTAGAGATTCATTATAAGATTAACAGGTTCTAATCGAACTTTGAAGGTACATAACTTGGATATTTGAGATAGAACATTATTTAAATTTGTATAAAATATACTAACCTTCATGCCAAGTTTCATCATGGTTGTCCAAAGATCAAGTTAATTCAGTCGAATTGTCATGGATTTACCCATTAAGATTAAATTTTTTAAAGAACAGAGATATTTGATTAAATTTTACCTAAAAATGCCAAAATCTTTCGAAAAATATTTTATAAGTAAATTTTGTAATTTTTATATGCATAATAAATCTTTCAAGATGAAATCAAATTTTTTTTTAAAGATATCCACAAACAAGTATTATCCATCAATGATAGAATAAATACAAATAATATTTAATAAAAAAATCCAATGCTCTTAAACAATAGGCCATTCAGCCATTCCTGGACTTACATAAGCTTTTAAAAGAATGATTTTATTTATATTATTATGCAATAGAGGTTTAATTATAAGCTTCAAATCTTAATAAAAATTACAATCTAACAATGGATAAAACACATCACATGTTATAAATTTTTATTTATATTTATAAAATATTTAAATACAAATATGAAGGTATTCCTCTTTAATATGAATAAAGATGTCCAATAAATAAAATGACATAAAAATTTCATTCATAAATCCCTAAATTCAAAGCTTTAAACATATATAAAATTCAACATTTTTTAAAAAAATTAAATTATGTGACTTTAAAAATATAAATAATTATTAAAATATGGTATCATAGCTTGTAAGATTAGATAAATGCATATTTAAATATATCCAATATTATATATAATATCAAATACATAATTATTTAATTAATTACCATAAATCATGATAATTTTAAATTTATTTTATTAGTAAACAATTTGCATAATATAAATTGATGTAGCTAAATAATAGTTATGCATTTTCACTATTTAAAAATCAAAATGAAAAGGATAGTCAGATTATTATTATATAGTTAATTTAAACTTTAATTAATATTCCTTAAAAAACATTCTATGCAATAATTATAGGTAAATATAACCTTGCATTTATCAATCTCCTTTCCAACTTCACAATAGTCAACTGGGAAAAGACCAGGAAGATACGCATATCCATTATTGATAAAAAGCAAAAGAAAGGTTATATAATATGAAAGAAAACGATATGAGAGAATAGCGTTATGCATTATTGATCAATGCCAGATTTACCAAGTTTGCATTGTCTAAATTCGATTTTACGTGTGAGTTGAAGAGGATAGATTAAAATTGTATTGAAAGCTTTGGGCAGCTATTTCTATAATCGAAAACATGTGATTAATAAAATGTAAAAAAATGTTTCGATTCTATTTAATATAATTGTGAACAAAATTATTGCTGATATACTTGGAGCTTTCAATCTCTTAAACTTATCCTCCCTTAACGACTTATACTTGAAGCATCGTATAATTTCCTACGCAGATGATGTAGAAATCATCTAAATTCATGAAAGAAACCTCAAACATATTGGGTATACTAAAATCATATAGTAGGAAGCCTACCATAAACATGAGTGAAACAGTTATAGAAATGGATTCTAATCATATGATGGGTTCGTGAGGAATAAAATTAGTAAATTCAATTAGCCCGGGGTAAATCTGGAAAATAAAGACCATATAAAGAATGAGCTTGAAATAAGACTAAAGCATGTGAAAGCTGTGTTTTACAAATATTCAAACTTTGGAATACTAGATAAATATAGGTGAAAAGTAGGTTTCAAATATTTATTAATAATCATTCCCATTCTTCTATACGGGAGCGATATTTGGGACTTCAACAAAACACTAGCTATATAACTTCAGGTTATGTAGATAGATGTCTGAGACTTATTGGTGGCTACATTTATCCTAGAGTGATATCTAATGATGGTCTATGGATAATATCTAAGCAAACTCCGGTTAGGATTTTACTAGAAAAAAAAATTCGTTTGTTTTTTACACATATAATAAAAATATCCGAACAAGACTTGGCTTATAAAGCTCTTAGTTGGCTTCCTATATATAAAAACAAGAATATTGTGTTTACAAGATTTATTGGCTCAACAAAACCATAATGGACATTATAAATATGAACATAAGTCTAGCATCAGCCATTTAAATAATAAGAAAAGCTGTATAAATAAACTACATAAAATAAAAACTAATTATCTCATAAATCATTAGATTCTTTTATTAATATACTTTGTTTTAGAGGTCGACCTCTATTTACTATCACTCTTATTACTTTCATCTTATCAATATTTTGTTCTCACAACTGGAATGTAAATCTAACCTAGTTGTATTTGCCACGTCCACTCTTTCAATACTTTCATTACCTACACTTGAATTAGTTAAGTTAACATTCCCTGGATTCACACTTTGATAAGGATTATTAATTCCCATAAAACCTGTTCATCACATTTATTTTATTTTTAGGCACGGATATAGGCCTGGTTAGGTATGACCTAGCCTGTCCTACAAATCTACCCACACCTAATATTCCCGAAATTAGACCCTGACGCTTTAAATAGTTAAGCAAACGTTTTGCATAGTTGTTTTTATGTCTATTAGCTTATGCACATTGCTAAACCTATATCAAACTTGCCTAGTAATTTTGACATTTGGCATGTTTATGTATAAAGGTATGTTTTTTTAAATTTAATAAATCTAAATATCGTTATACCCTTAATGAATTCCTAAATGATATTTATCCCTTTAGTTTGATCTCTTGTGGCATTCACTTGATTTTCCTTTCTTGATCCAGTTCCATGTGGCCATGCACCTAAAACAAATTTCCTTTTTAATATTTATTATATACGTTTTTTTAAACACATTAAGTTTTATCATTAAACCTTTTATATGATAAATACTATTTTAATATTTATCTAGAAAATATAGACAAAGTTGTTAAAAAGCCCGATTTGGGTTGATTTTTAAATAGATTAAGATTTTAACCAAAATAATATTATGTATGCCTTGATAAATTTCTCATAGATGGCAGAGATCAAGACCTCTATTTGACCAATTTCATGGCTTTTTAAATATTATTTTGGTTAAAATCTTAATCAGGTCATTTTTAAAAATTGACCTAAATCGGGCCTTTTAACACACTAATATAGACATTCCCTTTAAATCAGGGTTGTGCATTTGACAGGTCCAATAAGATTCAGTCAATTGACCGGTCAAATACGGTCAAATACGGTCAAATATGGTCAAATTTAAATATTTTTTAAGACAATATTATTTATATTTTAGTAAAAAAAAATTATATATATTAAATTACATTTTTCTAAATTCTATGATTAATGTTTCGCTCTCGATGACCTTGTTCTAATTTATATTCAATCTTATCATTTTCTTTAACATTTTTTAATCAATATGATATACTCCTACCAATCTTCTAGTTGTCGAGATCTTCAATCGGATTTCTTAGACACTTCTCTTAATATTCAAGGTGAACAAAACTCATTTCAACAACTTGAGCCCGAAATCTGATTGTTCTTTATGAAGTTACTGGTTTCCACATATTTTGCCTATTAAATATATCGCCACTTTTACTTCTGAAATTTATGATATCACTTAAAATATTTTGATAATTATCAATTTATAAAACGATTAATGTTTGTATTATGTCATATGCTTGATTAAACTCAAATAAATGCTCCCCTTATATTGGGGATCCTATAAATAATAAGCAGTGCAGTGTGATCATGATTTGGGTGCCTTATTGCTATATACCTACTTATAAATTTAATAACATAAAAGCGAAATGGAAAGTGAAATCCAGCGTGTATAATATTTTTTCTTTAGGGTAAATTATAAAATCATGGACATGATTGTATATGTGTTTTCTAAATTAAGCAAGTCGTTTTTTAAGTGAACCAAGGTCAATAAGATAGCTAAATGTTAATGAATAGTTTAAAATGATAAAATTTTTGTCCAAAATATCATTGAATATATTATTGGCAATTTCTATCGGAGAAACATCCAACTTCTTCAATAGCTTCTTTCAGAGCTTTTTAGCATATTTGTATTTGCTCATTACATTTTATTGATGATGCCCAACTTGTTTGAATAATTGTACATAATGTAATATAAATTGGCAATTAGTAATTTTCTTATACCATGCTTAAGTAAAATTATTATATTTATTTAAATATTTAAATCCAATCAAATTAATAATGAGAAAGATTCTTTTTTTATATATTTCAAATTGAAATTCTAATATTTTATTATGAAAATTTTATATTTTAATATAAAATTATAATTAAATCGATGCCTTGATGATACAAATATATTAAAAAAATTAAATAAATTAGATTGATAAATATGCTTTAAATACATATTAGTTAATTAAATCAATATATATTTATTTATTCACCAATAACATAGAGTATATGACAGTATTTGACCAGGTCAAATACACTTGCCACACTCTTTTTATCTTCATTTGTATATACTTTATATTTTTTTACATATTGTATAGTTGATTAAAAATATTTTATAAATCTGAATAGATTTAGAAAAAAAGGTACTTCATTTATTGCAATTAATTTTATTTAAATGCAAGAAGTGTTTGAATTCTTTTTAGTTATTAATCCAATTTGTTAACTTATCCTGAATATCTATGATGTATCAAAATATATGCAGAAAAAATCTTTATCTTTTTGTACGAATATTTTAACAATATATTATAAGTCTTATTTAAAATTATGAAGTATGAAAACTAAAAATATTTTAATTGTCTTCTATTTTGATTTCAATATAATTTCATCCATTATAAGAGAAATCAAATAATCTAGTTATTTTACTTTTATAATTAAAATTTTGTTAAGATAAAATTTAAAAAATGTTATAAATAAAAGCTAATATATGATAATTGTAATTTTATTTAAAAAAATATAATATATTTTAACAATAAAGTGAATCGTCATTTTAGAAGTTATCTTCCTTAAATTAAATACAAATCAATCACTTTCAAGAGAACACTTTTTATTAAATATTTATAAATAAATAACCAATGCAAAATATGATATGAAAATGAATACAAAAAATTTAGTAAATTATAAGGAAATGTAAGTTTTTTCACAAAATGCAATAACTTTGACAAGTTTAACATATATAATAAAACATGCACAAGAAATAAAAATTAGGTGACATTATATTAGAATTGAAACAAAATTAAGAGGAGAATGGGTTATAAAGGCAATGGAAATTTGATTTGATGACTTGGATTGCAAGTCTTTGGCAATGATATCCTTCTCTGAATACTTTGTTTTGACTGAAATTTGTCTGCTCAATATTTTGATTAAGTTAGCTTGAGGACTAAAAGCGATCATGATGACTGATATAAAATGGTATTGATACGAGATGTTCATGTATTTATCATATTTTAATTTTTCTGTAGCTACTTTTTGCTTAGATTTGATGAAGCATTACATTTATAGTATAAATGCTAGCTGCAATCAAAATTTAAATAAATATAAGTTTCATAGATTAATTAAAGTAAATGATCTATATTCATCTCTAAATTTTCATTGTTATTCCACTTTAATAAAGAAATATTCAGAAAAAATTTTAATCTTTGTCTATCTTATATTTAGAATACAATATTAAGTCAAGCTAATTTGCAAGATCTTGTATCAATATAAGCTAAACTAAAACCTTAAATTAATGCTAAAAAAAATACTAGTAATTTAGATTTAAAAAAAAATTAAAAAGGAATTTTAATACTAATTTATCTCAATAATTCTTTTGGTTTATTTCTAAACCCTTGCATAGATAGTGTAATTATAAAAAATTTATTTAAAATAACTTATTTTAAAAAAACCTAACGAAAAAAGTGCACAATATTTCTCAACATTTAGCTTTTGTCTAAATGCTTTAATTAATGGATTAGACTTAGATCTGACTAATGAAATAAACCAAATGTACATAAAAAACTAATTTAAAGAAAATATTATTATTATTAAGGGTATATGACAATTAGAATCCAAATAAATATATTTAAATTTTTTTTAGAATAAGTCTGCTATTTATACTTACTCCCTATCAATTAAGTAGGGGAATTAATAATGTATCTGAAATTGTTAAAAGCCTTATAAGAATATATAAATAATAATAGTCGGAAGCAAATGCAATAATAATAACATCTGACGCTCGTACTTACATTTCTAATATGAATAAGTCCCAACTCAGTTATTACTATGCTATTTCTAAAACCTTTATCCAGCATGAA